TAAAAGTGTTTCATTAAAAGTTTTTTCCCCTCCCTCTCAATAATAAGCGTTTGGTTTACGTGAGGCAGCGCTTGACCCCCTCCTCNGGTAAGACACCTCTTGACCCCCCCCTCCCCTTTAGTGCCTTACGTAATTTGTGGACGGCCCCTTTACAGGCTCTCAACCAGGAGTTGTAAATTGATAACTCTCTCTCACGCTGAAGCGTTTGTGCATTTTCGTTCGTGCCCATGTGCGCTTTCGCGTTTGTTCGTTCTCGTTAAATGTTATACTTGTGCGTGCTGGTAAGTACAATCGCAAGCACAAAATTGTTGGTATAACGTAAATTCATGACATACCAACAACTAATAATAGTCACTGTTTCCAGGGCGGTGTCAAAATTTGTTTACTAATGTATTTGACACAGTAAAGAAATCTGAATTGGCCTTGGAGCAAGGCAACGATGGAACATCCCGTCAGTATTAAACGTGTAACTGCAGTTTGTAGTGATCGTAAAGGCCAGTGTCCAAAAATGCGTTGGTGACTTCCAAATTAAGTCAATACCTACTAAGGTCCTCACTACCCGTGTAAACAGGCCTGATGACAAGAAATCGGGAGGATGCTTAATAAAGTACTGACCTGGAATAAATTGGACTGCTTTTTGTTGGGTTGCGGAATATCTGGGCCTGAGCCGGTGGTACCTTTGTCCTTGCCGGCTGCGTGGGTTTGCGCATCTCCTGCTCCGCCATCTTTTGCCTCTTTCTCCTTCTTTTTGTCTTTCTTCTTTTCCTTTTCTTCTTTCTTTTTTTCCTTTTCGTGCTCCTTTTCTTTAGCTTTTTCTTCTTTTTCCTTCGCTTTCCTATCAGCTTTTTCTTTCTCTTTGGCTTTTTTCTCTTTCGCTTTATCTTTCTTTGAAGATTTTCGATCCGAGTTACCTTGACAGCACGAGCTCTCTTGCAGAAGGAAGCAGAACACGTACAGCAAGAAGAATATACTAACCCCGTATAAATATGTAAAGAAACCCTGCACAACACACGAAAAAATAGAAATACAGTAGCTGCAAAAAAAGGATAAAAAACAAAATGAGTAAAAGATTAGAATCTTGACAAGATATACAAAGAGAAATAGATACTTTTAAATGCGGGGTATAAAAGGTAAGCACTAGAGGAAACCGGCACCTTGTCGTTTTTAGCCAAATGCATGCTCATCTTTAAGAGAAAAAAAAGTCACAAATCTAAAAACAACCTATAATCGTGCAGTCGCTTGGGTACGTATCTTTCCATTCAACTAAAGCTCGTGGAGCCACAGTAATGCATTTCGCCACAGATTATACATACAAGTCTGGGCCCCCCTCATAACTTCTAAACGAAAAATGCTAGGGATTTGAAAATTGGGGAATGTTCCTAAATCAGAGGGAACTATTTTTTTACTTACCCAAAATTTCGGGGGGTTGATCCCCTGAGGGGGGGGGTGGACCATAACTTTTTTTTTTAAAAAAAGGTACCTCTATCTTGTGATACATCATTCGAAAGGGCTTAAAAAATTTTTTTTGGGCGTAAATCGATTGTCAATATCTCAATTTTTAACACAATGGCGGCTTACCCAAAAGTCTGAGCCCCCCTCATAACTTATGAGCAAAAGATGCTAGGGATTTGAAATTTGGGAAAGTCCATGGGTCACAGGGAACTACTTTTTGGCGTACCTAAAATTTCGGGGGGCGGCCCCCCTAAGGGAGGGCGGGCCTTGACTTTTTTTTTTTTAAATGGGAACTCCTCTAGTGATAACATTATTCGAAAAGGCTTTTAAGAAGAAAATTTTTGGCGAATACCGATTGTCAATATCAATTTTTAACAAAGTGGCGGCCAAGAAATGACGGGCATTCTTATGTGGCTTCCTGGCTTAGTTGAAGTCTAAAGCGCACTTGGTTTCTGATTGCATTTCGTCCGTCAGTGGATTCTTTTCGATCTCTTGAACGTAAAAAAAAGAGAGAGAAAAAAAGAAAAAACCGGCGCTCCGCTTCGCTCCGCCCCGGTATTTGGGGGGGGGGCTTGGAGGGGGTAACCTCCACACCGGTTAAAATTGAAAGTTCAGAGTCCCCCTGCGCCCCATCAGAAAAGTCTCTGAGGACAACGGGACCCTCAAATTCGGATTCTTTGGGATCGATTACCTCTGAGGCTCTGAATACACATTTTTTCCGAGTCTCCACGTCAATTTAACGAACTTCAATTTTTTTGAAAGGGGGCTCTGTCGCCCGCCTTTAGGGGTCGGTGTTTTGGACACGGATGGGCCGATTTTGGATTTCTTGGTGTCGATTTCAGTTAAAAATTTCCGTACGTTCTAATTCCGATGAAATAATTTCAAAATTTTGACAAAAACCCTGACTTTTGAAGTGCGGACCCCTCTTTTACCCCCCAGGGGACGCCAGGGGGCTCTGGGACCATGAAATTCGGATTCTTTGAGGTCGATTCCCTATTCATCCCCGCGATCCTGGACTTCGTGCGACCCAATTTAACCGAAAAAAAGGCCTGGTACGGTAGGTCTGGGCCACCCTGTATACAAACATGAATTTGAATGGCATATATTTTCGTGATCTACGACCCGTGATCGGTGCTCTCCACAAGGTCTCGGGTCTGGGTCCGACATCATGGGAGAATGCAACAGTGTATTTTCTTCGGAAAATACACTAAAAAATCTCTGGCAAAGGTGAGTAAAAGTGTCTTTTCTCGTCATGTTTGCTGTCATTTCAGGTCGATTCCTATTCAGGTTTAGATCCTGATCCCATCGATGTACATTACGAAATGTTATTCGTTTGAAAGTGTATATCTTGAGTTCGAAGGAGAGGGGAAAAATGGGGATGGCAGTGCCTGTTTTCGAAATACTTCGATTAACATGCAAAATAAGTTTTAAAACACCAATTTTTCATATTTTTCGACGTAGTTTCACTTTTTTGGTTTTCAACCGCCCGATGGCAATAGCAAATTGTATATCATCTGTGCATACATTTAACACCTCAGCTTGATTAGAAAAAAAAATCGAAGAGACTATATTTCATGAGACATTGCAGTTTGACCAATGAGTGACCAAAAATCGAAAATTAAAAAAAATTCTAGATTAAGACTAATGAAATCATATTTAGCTTAATTTCGATTGCATTTTCAAAATTTACGAAAAAAATTGGTCTATACCTACACTCTGCTGGATATATGATGGATTGATACAGATTGTCACCATAGAGTGTCAAAGAAATGTATGTTGAGAGTATGAAAATCACAAAAACGGGCGTTTCCGAAAATCGCTAAAATTCATCCCATCGTCGCGGTTCGATATCTCGTGGATAGAACTTCGCATGGGAGAACTTTTTCCGAGAAGTCTCTCAGAATCTCGTACAAATTTTGAGCCAAATCGAAGGGGGTCGAGTTCCGGATCTGGTTTTGACAAGGAATGACCCACCCTCGATTCCGCCCCGTCTTTCTGCTTCGCACTTTCCTTTGATCTGCCTGATGGCTCACTCGGTGGAGAACACGCTAGACTGCTAAATTTGAAATGGACGATCGCTGAGCGGCTAGTCCTCCGAAACTGGGCTAGAGTTCAAAATTAGAATGAAAATCAAAACACGATGATGAGCCGATACTCTGTCAAAAATGAGAGCCAGACGAAAATGCGCGAGAAATTTAAAGCGCAAGTAAATCAACCAACAAGTGTAATACGCAGTGCAAGAGCCGAGAACTTTGTAGGTGATTCTAGGACCTCAATGTAGATCTTTCTCATTTGGTTGGGAGCACTTGTTACGGTGGCGACAACCTGAAATCGTGGAGACCTTTCCAACTTTACAGGACCTCTCCACATTTCCTCTAACTGGATGAAAGTCAATTGAAAGTTGTGGAAAGATGATGAAAGATGTGGAATGACCCAAAAGTTGCCCTTTGTTCATCATCCTCCCAAGAAAACTTACTGTTTTTTTTACGGTTCTCTTCCAAGTCTTTACACATTTCAGTCTGAATTCTTTTCATAATTTTCCCACTGACTGAAAAATATCAATGGTTGAGGGCAGAGGCTACTAATGTTGAAGGATGTCGAAGATTATGACATTTTCAACATATTTTAACAATTTGCGCTTTTTCACGACTTTGCTATTTTTTCCCTCAACTTCGAAACATTTCCTCGACTTTTCCAAATTTTGGGATACCATGTGAGTTCTTTGAATGAATGCAACTAATAAGATAAAATTAACCCAAAGACATCATTCTAATGATAGGTTGACAGCATGTACATTCGTGCATCGTGAATTGCGTAGTTTCTTTTGCTTCTAGATCAATTTGATACAATACGCACTGAAACGCGTAAGACTCATAAATTCGGGCATCAAATATTTTGACAAAAAAAGAAAAAAAAATCACTACTTTTGAAATTGCCGGCAATTTTGTGGAAAGGCAACCGGAAAAATGTGGAAAGCCGGCGGCCGGGCGCGTTCGAATATAGAAGCTTGGAAGATTCTACATCCCTGGTTCCAAAAAGCAACAATGGAATAATTTGGTTTGAATAAAAGGTCGAAAAAGTACCCTCCCGAAGGGTACAAATCGCCCATGAACAGTCTATAATTTCCTCGCGCACGACAAGAAGCAGACTAGAGCCGGTCGGCGCAGGGCGCATAGAGTATTTTAAAATACCTGCGTAGTTTTTCGGAATATGTACCCGAGTAGGTACCCGGGAGTATTTAGTAATTTACGCGTATATTCTACAACAACGATGATTTAAACTAACCCGTTCCAAAACGCACATTGCACACTTCGAAAACTGGTTATTGGACACGTATTGGAGTTCGCGACGTTGCAAATTTTCCGGTTTCCCTTCTTCTTATACTCCTTTTTAATTGAAAACTAATCATGCTGAATTATGGATGGCTAGCTAATACATATGGAATAAGTACTAATGACTCAGAAACGGTTAAGTTTTTAAATGAATATTCATTCCATGGGAAATGGAATAAAAACAGGGGAAAGTCTTGAAGTTCTAAAATTGGTTATGGGAAATCCGGAAAAAGTAAAGTAGAGGATGTGAAATGCATTTTGCAGAGTTTATCTAACACTAAGAATTACATACTAAGCTTCGAGCAAGGAACATACCTCGTAGCACTCGACTGGTAACTTCAGTGTGATCACCTCGGAGAGGACGTAAGCAATGCACATGACGATGAGAAGTTTGGCGTAGATGAAGCTTAGAAATATGAACTGCGACGTCCTGAAACCACATAGAAAAAAGGAAACATTAGGCGCAGCAGCACTTGACGTGAGTGCAATCTGAAAGTCATCCTATAATAATAATTGTGATGATCTTCCTGAGGTAGTATCCAATTTTTTGCGTTCCTCGCTTGACTCAAATGGTCCCTACTATTGGTGCACTGATGACACATGCCAAGAGCCTCTTCACGATGATGAACATAAATACATATCATAATATGACACGAAGTATGTTAAACACAGAAAGAATTCTACATTCCTTAGCAAATCTGAGGAGAGGCTAAGTTTTTGCGGCATCGTTTCGACTAAAGATCATATATTTACATCGTCATCATTATTCTCACACATGGATAAAACAACATTAAGGCTGGACCATAAAATGTTTTCGGAGCGTGAAGTCAAGTGCTTGTGCTTAAGGGGCAGATACACGTGCGAGCTAGACGCTCGTCTTGAGCGGCGAGTAGGCTTTCGGCTGTGTTCGGCAATCTTCGTAACCAATCAGGTCGCACCTCACCACTCGTAACTCGCACAAAGTAGGATCGGGTCCTACTTTTCGGATCAAGACGCGCGTGTAGCGCGCAGGTGTATCTGGTCCTTTAGGACCAAAGATCCCCTCACTGCGAAGCCCATGTAGTAGCATGCTAATGTAAGATTCTTTAATTTTATCACAGCGTAGTAAGTCTGTGCATTGCAAAGCTAATGCCGCTCTGGTAAAGCTGGAGAGAGCATATGACGGCCCCAGTCAGTAAGTCAATAGTGGATTAAGTATGGCACGTGAGAGTGATGGAGTGATGCGTCCACTGCCTGGGCTCTGCGAGAGGACTGTTTGCACTGGCCCCCCAAAATGACCCATTTCAAAATTCAATGTAATTCATGATCGAGGGTCACTTCCGGCCTCCAAATCCGGAGATAGTTTTGTCCCTAGCCCCTTCAGTGAAACGTTGTCGTTTCCTAGAGTTCCTAGAGAGAAACATCTTCACGCCCATAACTTTTGAACGGTTCAATGCATTTAAAAGCAGTTTGTTCGAGTAGATAGAATATGAAAAACAATGAGTTCATAGGCATTTTTTACCAATCGTTCTAAAATGTAACAAAAAGGTGCGTTGTTAAATTACTTTTGCTGCCCAACAAAAATGGCCGAATCTTAGCAGGATTGACGTCATCTCAACGACGACGTCAGCTCAACAGACGGGAGAAAATCGAGGTGTCGTTGTTAAATTCCCGTTGGATTCTGCGGATTTGGAGGTTAAGTTTTGTTGAAATTTAAGATTTTTAACATTTAAAAATCTTAATACACCCACATTATTACGAAATTGACGCAATAAACGATTATAAGCAATTGCAAGTCAGTCTGGTGACGAACATGTGGCCAAGAAGTGCGAAAAAATGGCGGTTATGGATGTAAACAATAACATTACAACAATCCAGCAAACTCGGCAGCGGTCCACAGCAGCCAAAAACCTCGCTGAGCTGTTGGGCATTTTGCTGAGCAGCCATCTTGGAAAACGGGTAAATCCACCAGAATTTACCAACGCTTTCGTTGAGCTCAACGCTCAGCGGGTAATTTTCGTTGGGCAGTTGTGGACTTTAACAACGCATCTTTAAATATACATCATGTTTTGGTTTAGTCCAGGTGTAAAAATACACGGAAAAAAATCTCATAGCCAGAGAGTAGGTGAGATTCACCATCTTGGATTCCCAGATTCGACCCCTGAGAACAATTTTGCTACGAGTACAAATATAAGATGAGTAGAAACCTCAAACCGAGATCAGGTAGACGTAGACAACAGAGATGGTAATTCGCTACAACATTGCTGGGCGGGAGCGCCGTCCTCTGTCGACGTCCCGCACAACGTTGCTGCGAAAGACCTTCAAAGATGGTAAACTGACCTATATCGACGGTGAAAGTCGGCAATCACATAACTCGATTTGCGACGTCGCAGAATTCCTGTCATACATTATTCTTTAAACGGAAAACTACTCAACGGTAATTCCTTAAAACTGCCGTGATTTTTCTTCTATGTGCGAGGAAAATTCTGCAAAAACTGCAAGGAATCATGTCCATTTGTTCTCCTTTAAAAAAATAACATAGTTGCGGAGATTTTCAGACACCGCAAACGAGTTATGTGATTGCCGACTTGCACCGTCGATATGGATGTTAAGGGTATCAATCATGTAAGCAAAGGACAACCTAATATTTTAGTAGACGCTGACCGCCTCGAACCGATACGCAGAAATCATTCCGACGCGGAATGGATCCGCGGGAGTCGCAAATCTTGGGAATCGCGGTTATGGGGTGGTGGAACACGGTTAATCGAGTAAATAATTCTCGAATTCTTGAGAAGGAAACTATCTAAAACTATGAAGGAGAGGCCCCAATTTTGTACCCAATGTTTCAGCGACTTCCCGAAGGCGGATTTCCTTGAAACTTTGTACGCATGTGCGGTTCGTGCTGAATGGGTGCACTTCGTCGTCCGATTTTTTTGATATTTCTGGTATCATTGCAGCAGCTTCTTGATGCCGTCCGCCTAAAAGCTCTCGCCTTGGCTCCGAAACCAGTCATTGACAGCGATCTGTACCTCTGAATCGGTTGGCAATCGTTTTTCATCAAGTAATATTTTCCGTTCGGTAACAGATGAAAGTCACATGCGGCTAAATTAAGAGAGTATGGAGGCTTGGGGGAAAATTTCCCGACGCAAAGCAAACGATTCAGGGGTACAGATCGCTGTCAATGACTGGTTTCGGAGCCAAGGCGAGAGCTTTTAGGCGGACGGCATCAAGAAGCTGCTGCAATGATACCAGAAATATCAAAAAAGATGTGGAGACTGCGTCAAAAATTAAGTTCAGACCTTCTCAATGAAAACTTTGAAATTATTTTTTGATGTGATGTCTAGAGGCGAATACCCGAGTCTGAAAAAATCGACTGTCCGCGCATCCTGACCTCGGGGGTGGACACGCGGCAACCGGAGGTTGTCTCGGTAAAATTAAGTTTTCTCGCAACCTCCTTGACCGATTTTCAAAAACTTCAACTTATATTAAAGCTTAGAGTATGCCTAATATGTGTTTTTTTACCGATTTGATTTATCTCTTTTCGTTCGAAAGATACAAGGTAAAGAACCTTAGTTTTTGGATGACCCTCGTAGTAACTGGTAGTAACTAATTGAAAATGATTGCGTTAATAAAGGTGTTGCTCACCATACAATGGCGTTGGTTTTTCTATCTATTTTCCAGGTTTACGGCACCAACTTTTAGTCAACTAAACCAAGATGGTTATCCGCGCACAGTCATTTTTTTCCGTAAATGGTTAACCTAAATAAATCAACATTGCAGCTTTTTAACGGTTAATTCGTTTATACCGTTTAACGATTGTGTCGCGAGAAATGGGCTTTCAAAGTTCAAATTAACGTGATTATTGAGGTCCTACGGCATTTGCACGGCTATGTACTTGGTTCGCAAGTCTTATCCCTTGTAAATCACTCATCAGGCCTCCAGGACCCCTTTCCGGTGCTAGGGGAAATCTCCCAACCTTTCCTTGGATCTGGGGAGTCCCACAAATCTTCCTTGGTGGATTATTCATGAAAGCCTCCTCCCTCTTTGGTGCATTCTCCTTCTGGCTCCCCACATAAAGTTCCTGGTTCCGCCCACGTGTTAACCTGGTATGATCTGTTGTGATCTTTTAGATTTAAAAGTGTCCTCCTTAAATGAGCAGAAAATATGCACCGTTCGCTCAACACGGAACCAAAACGAACAATACATAAAAAGTTGCAAAAGAAGGTCGAAATAAGAGATGGGTTATTGATGTTATAGAGAGTCGGGTTCAATTAGTTGAAAAGTGCATGGGGCAATTGATGAAGGATCAAGATCAGCACCAGTATCTAATGTTACAGTTCCACCGATCGACAAATAAAAGCGTGAGCCAATCAATACCCATACGGTCAACGCATTCGAACAACAGCTCGTTTAATGGAACCATTAAATGAATAAGACTCGATAATAAAACGATAATAGGCGCCGATCGCCAACTCGATCGAAAGCAACTCCACCGACAAGCGGAAAGTCGATCGAATCACGGGTTTTCAGATCACGTGTTTGCGGATCAGATCACGTGTTTGCGGATCAGATCACGTGTTAGCGGATCAGATCACGTGTTTGTAGATCAATTCAAGAGATATTGTACACAAACTCACCGGTTTTTTGTGGATACATGGCTTTGTCGATCTACTTATGGATTCATTGATTGATATTAGTTGATCGGGTGCCAATATCTGTCAAAGCAATGCAATCTATTTACGTTTTCATTTTTTTTATAGATTACATTAAATGACACGGTTTTATTACTTTATTTTATTTTTTTACATTTCTTAAATTGTTTTTAAAATAATTTTGAATTTTTTAACTTTTTTCAACCATTTTTCATTTCTTTACTTCACGGTTGGTTGGCGTGTCGATTAGGTATCAATCGGTTTACGAGTTCTTTTTCAATCAATGCAAGTCAATTGAAACGACATACGGCATAAAAAACTCCGAAAGTGACAAACTACAAACCATCGGCAATGGGAAAACTTCTTTTTACTTCATTTAATTATGTTGACTACGAAAGAGGGTTACAAGACAGGTTTTTTTAGGGTGGGCCGATTCAAAAAAAAATGCCGGAACTTAGACATCCCTGGCAGAGCAAAAGAGACCAAATACTCTCGAATGAACGTTAAAACAAATTCAGTAGCTACTAATACGTCTTCAATTGATGATCGTTGCGTACCTATGTGGGAGTTGCTTAATCTGGGCTCTATGCTTCTTGGCCTCGGCTTCCTTGTTAGCGGCGTTGTTCTTCTCGATGGTACCAGTGCCTCCCCCCTCGGTACCATCACCTCCGCCACCCCTAGTGCTGGACACCTTGGAAACGGGTAGCGTAGCCATGTTGTCTACGGACTCGACGTCGACCGTTGCCACTTTCAAATCTCCGCCGCCGCCTACCATGTCTGCTCCACTTAAGTCCTTTAA